TAATGAATAGTTAATCTAACAATATTGTGCTAGCACTATTAAGGAAATATAAATGGGTTGCTCTCAAGTTGGCTTCGGTTCGACATTGCGAAGGGGCTATAACACACTGCCTATAGTAGCTCAGTTAAAACACTCACTGTAAGGCATGGGACGGGTAAAGTGCTTATCCGACACAACTTGTTAGCTAGGGATACTTTCTAGGTGACTAGATAGACGAAACTTCATGATTCTCCCCGTTAACCTTTGCAAACCAATCCATCATCCATTGATTGATTATTATTTTTTCAACCTCCAATTGTTTGTTCGCATCGGGTTTCATGGTTTTTATTCCGTTCCCTTTCTTAGGTTTATTTTCACCTTCCCCTCACGGTGCTCGTATATCATCGGTCATTGAGAAATACTTAGGCTTAGCCACAGAGTTCAAACACGACGAATTTTGCTTCTTGAAATGAAACCCATTGGTCAAACATACATGATTATCACCTTTTTTGGCACGATTTTCCAACCTTTTATAATTTGCTTGGATGATATTTAGAGCGTAATCCGTATCCGCTCGCCACTACTAATCAAGTCTGGGTTGATGTGCTTTCCTTTTTTTTTTCTTTCGATGTGCTTGACTTTAGCTACCTTCCTTTAGCTGCTTATTATAGATGTTTCAGTTCTCTAAGTCGACTTCGTTGCGGTTTCTCGATAGGAAATCCATGGATCAAAGAGTTGCTGCCCATGGCAGTTGCCTTTTACCGCGTCCTATCTCTGGCAATGCCAACGCATCTACCCAATGCATTATTTTGGGCAAATGAATTATTTTTGATATAGCAGAGCGCTTAGCGCCTGCGTCTCACTTTCTTTTGATATAATATCATAGACTGATAGAGCGGGCTAGGGTTGTTGGTACGTGCAACTGTTGTCCGGTATAACCGCTGGGAGGGTGTAGGGCTCCTGTAGATGGGGAGGCATGTTGAGGTAGAAAGGGGGGTGGGTTTTGTGAGTACCTTCAGATTAAAAAAATGAGCACCTTCAGAAGAAAAAAAATGAGCACCTTCAGAAAAAAAAAAAAAAAAAAACCTGGGAAGGACGTGATTGCATGGCACCACTCTGCCACTTGTGCGAGGTGTGACTAGAGCTGGGTAACATCCTCCACCTCTGGGTGCCAGTGGGTGTACTGACCCCTATTAGACCAAGTTTGGGAATGGAGGGCGGCGGACGCTGCTGGGAGCGCTGCGCTGCCCCTCCGCGCTACTGAGTGTGTCGCACGGCGCGATGGAAATTTCGGCGGGATGCCGCCGGTGCACTCTGTCATCGTCCATGGCGTTGGGTGGGAGAGATGGTGGCAGCACCACCGTGCGCCGCGATAGGAAGATCTGGTTGACGTTTTTTGCATGTCGCCGGACAGTGGTTGTTGGCTATGGTGGTGGGAGGGGGAGGTGGTAGCAGCGCTGCTTGGTGCGTGAGTGTTGTCCTTTATAGCGGCTACAAGGGTGGCTGAGTATTGTGTTTTGCAGACAGATTTCATGGGCGGGGGCTTCCCTTTTGACGCTTGCGGAGAGGAAGGTTGTTTACGAAGCAGTGTCTACGTCGCGTTGAAGGGAGGTTATACATCACGATGCTGTAGGTCAGAAGAGCTAGGGTTATGGACCCCTTCTTCCTCAACAGCACGGTAAGTGGTTTCACATGGGGGCTTGAACTCCCTGTGGCGGCGCACCAACGGGTTTGGTGAGGAGGTGCCACACCATCTCTGATTCCTCTTGGGGGATTGAAGAAGACCGTCAATTTCTTCGGTGTTAGCATTGCGTAGAAGCCTAGGGGCTGACAGTGGGACGAAGGATGTTCCTCGTCCCCCGGAGATGCTGGGGTTGGGTTCGAGGGGGATGGGGTAGGTAGATGCTCCTGAGGAAGAGGGGGCGGCGATTATATTGTCGAGTGATGGCTCTTATGGTCAGTCTTGCCCATGTATGGTTTGGTGTCTCAGTGTACCGGACGTTGGCCTGATTGCTCTGATTCTGATTCTGTGAATGAATTCTTGTGAAAGAATTTTGATTCTTAGTTTGGCTTTGCTTTTGAGTACTAATGATCTTGTCTAATCATGTTCCTGTTGTTGTTTGTCTGATGAGTGATTTTCTCGAGTGTATCGAAATTCCTGATTTTAAATCTAAGTTTACGGGTTCCAATAGTCCTTTACGTTGGCTTTCTAAATTGATCTCAATTTCTTTTAATAATACTATCGTGAAAAGTTCCTATGAAATTTCCTATTAAAATTTCTGAATTTTTACAATCATGAGTCCGTTTTTGGACATATCAGGTAAATCGAAAGAGACTTCCCAACTACTCTCGAATTCTATATCTCTGAATCTCGATTCAAAAATAATTTCCTATTGTGATTTCCTTAGCATCGATTAGTATCACGGTCATAACGATTTCCTGAACCCTGGTTCTGGAAATCAGAGTCAAAGTCCGGGTGATATCAGATTCTTGTGGTTTTCCTAATCAATAGGCTTCTGAGGTTTGATGTTCATTAGCTTTTACCGGTAATAAGGCTTAGTAATTTCAGTTCTTGTCGGATAAATCAACTGAGAATTTCATAGTGTTGGTCGAAGATCTTAATTAGGGCATCTGAGGGTATATCCCTATGGCATGTGGTCTCAAATAACCGGTTAAAATTCGCTTTAAAAATCTCGTAGATTCATATGGGGCGGTTCTGTTGAGTTGGGGGATCTGTCCAAGAAGGAGGGCAAAGGGCACGAGATGACTCTTTGTGAGGACAGAGAGAGGGTTGCATCGGGGCTGTCTGAGGGGTACCGGCTAGGAGAACTTTCATTAGATGCGATTGGCGTCGAGCAACTTTGGTTGTCGGATGGGTACCGGCTGATGAGGGTTTACTATGGTGCGATTGGCCTCAGACGGTGCTAGCTCACCCCCTCGATGGCGGAAACTAGAATTTCCGAGGGGGCAGGAGATTGCAGGGTGAGGATTGTGTCT